TCTTGGATCTCTAAGGAGGTGTTAATTTAGCCTCTGCCTAAGGCTACCCAGCAGGAGCTATGGAGAGATTCCTCTTCTTTGTTTGGGGTTTGGAGGTGCCCAGATGAGGCCCAGCTGTGAAGCAATGCAAGCTGCTGTGGGGCCTTGGACCTTCTTTTGGAAGTTCTGGATCTCTCTGATTCAGCTGCAGTTTGTTAGGTAATTTTCAGGTTGCAAAGGGCCAGGCCTTTCATATGCAGAAGCCTTTGCGCACAGGTTGGGTGAGGCGGGGTCTCAGGGGATCAACAGGGCGGAGCAAGCAGCTATGGCTGCTCCCCAGACCTACCCTAAGAGGCCCCGCGTCTCAGTGTCACGGTAATCGCTGCATGCACCTCTGAGAGAAAGCCGCCCTCGAGTTCTGCCCGATGCCAGACAGTCCAGTTTCTCCCCGTATGAGTCTGGGTCCATGTGCGCTGCGTCCGCAGTTGCCAGCCCTTTCGGCGTGCGCCTCCGTACCTCTGCACTTTACTTCCGCACCTCCTCTGAGTCTCAGTGTGCTTTTCTCTTTCCTTCTAGTTGTAGAATTTCCACTCAGCCAGCCTTCCTGTGGTTCTGGATGATGTCTGTTTTGTCTTTTAGTTGTATTTTTGAAGTGGTTGTGCGAGGCAGCAATTTCCGGTGTTTACCTATGCCGCCATCTTGGTTTCTCCTATTTATTTTTTATTGATTGATTTTTAGATAGGGGGGGAGAGAGAGAGGGGGGGAGAGAAACAGAAACATTTATTTGTTGCTTCACTTATTTATACATTTATTGGTTGCTACTTGTAAGTGCCCTGACTGGACATCAAACCTGCAACCTTGGCATGTCTGGACCACACTCTAATCAACTAAGCACTCAGCCAGGGTCAAATGAGAATATTTTATATATTTTTATTGATTTCAGAGAGGAAGGGAGAGGGAGAGAGAGCTAGAAACATCAATGATGACAGAGAATCATTGATTGGCTGCCTCCTGCACGCCCCCCACTGGGGATCAAGCCCACAGCTCAGGCGTGTGCCCTTAACTGGAATCAAACCTGGGACCCTTCAGTCTGCATGCTGACACTCTATCCACTGACCAAACCTGCTAGGGCCCTAAAGAGAATATTTTAAATTGCTAATTCAATTTCTTGTTAAATATTTATTCTGATTTTCTTTTTCTCCCTGAGTCAATTTTGGTGATTTTTGTCTTTCTAGAAATTAGTTAGTTTCAATATATTGGAATAAAGTTTTTCATAGTATACACTTATAATCCTTTTAATTTCTATAAGGTCTCTGGTTATGTCCCCTCTTTTATTTGTGACTTTTGTAATCTGTATTGTTCTTTTTTCCTCCCATAAAGGTAGGGGATTCTCCAAAGAAGAGTTCATTCATGCCTTGATTTCATTAGTAGATACTTTTGGCCCACATACATTAAACATCAGCATGCAGTGGCCCATGGGACAAATACACCTGCTTTCTGTAAATACAGTTTTTTTGCAATGTGACCACACCCATTTATTTATGTATTCTGTGACTATTTTTCTGCCTCGACAGCAGAGTTGAGTCATTGAGACAGTGATCATACATCTCCTAAAGCCAAAAATATTTTCTATCTGGTTCTTTACAGGAAAGGTTTGCTGATTCTTATTCTAGCTTAAGGTTTGTCAGTTTTTTTGATCTTTTCAAGGAAACAACTTTTGTCTCAATTGATTTTTTCTGTAATCACTTTATATTTCATTGTTTTCTATCATAATTTTATTATTTTGTTCCTTCTGATTGCTTTGGGTTTAGTTTGCTCTTTTTCTAGCTTCTTAAGGTAAAAGCCTATGTTATTGATTTGAAACATTTTTTTTTCTTTTCAAATATAAGCGTTTAAAGCTAGAAATTTTCCTTATAAGCACTTTTTTAACTGAGTCTCATAAATTTTGATGTGTTTTCATTTGCATTTACTTCCAGGTATTTTCTAATTTGACCCATGGGTTATGTAGAAGCATGATGTTTACTTTCCAAATGTTTGTGAAATTCTTGATTTTTTTTTTATTGTTCTCTAAATTAGTTCCATTGTGGTCAGACAAAATACTTTGTCTGATTTCAGTTCTTTTAAACTTATTAAGACTTGTTTTATGGCCCAGCATATGGTCTATTCTGGAGAATGGTCCATGTGCATTTAAAGAGTTATTGGGCAAAGTGTTCTATAGATGTCAGGTCAAGTTGCTTGATAGCCTATGTCCTTGCTGATTTTCTGTCTAGTTGTTCCATCAGTTATTGAGGGTGGATATTGGAGTCTCCAACTGTTGCTGAATTTTCTACTTTTCCCTTCAATTCCATCTGTCACTTTAATTAGTTTTTGTTTTAACAAAACTTTTCCTTCTTCCCACCCAACCCCCCATAATAACCATTAAAAAGGAAATGAAGAAAGCCATCTAGGAAAATATGGGTGAGAAAATATGACTCAGTGAGCAAGCAGACACTTAATTGTTAGTCAAAAAGGTTTAAAACTATATCTGTAGAAAATTAAAGTTGTACATTTTAGTGCTTTATTATATAGTAGGGGAATTATGGTAAATCCAGGAAAACTTAGTCACACTCACATTCTTTATATTTAAAAAGCTATATTGCTCAACCTTTTAATATCAAATATTTACTGACATTCTTTGTTGTGAACATAGTGCTAACACTTCAAGGGATATATAGATGAAAAAGGAATAGTTTCTGACCTCAAGTTATTTACTTAGTAATGGAGAAAAATAAGGCAAGTAAATGAGTAAGTGTAGTACAACATATAAAAAAATAAATACTTGAAGAAGGTTCAGGAAGTAATTTAATGCTTCAGAAGAAACAAATTATATCAGTTGATGATATTTGTTCTTCAGGGTGAAGGAACTATTTCTGTATTTTCAATTCTGTCCTCCCAATGCCTAATAGAGTGCTGAGTAAGTACTTGATTAGGAAATCCCATGTGGGTCCTTGTAATGCTCTGTGTGTTTTCTTGTCTTTCCTTACGCCTGATCTTAGTCATTCAGTCTCTTTTCTTTCTCCTCTGTACTCATTACCACACACGGTGCTCTTCAGTGTTTTCTCTGAAAGCCTGACAATGGATGGGGTTACTGTCTCCTATTGAAGACAAAGCATTTTGGTGTTGAGTTGCTACCTGCTAATTACTAGGGAAGAATAGTAATAGTAATAAGCATTTAGTATTTATTGTGTTCCTAGTGTGTATTAGACACTTAAATGTAATACCTCAATCTTAAAATAATCCCTTTGTAGTACTTACTATTACCACTCTTATATTTCAGGTATAGCATGGAAAGATTTTTAAATTACATAGATAGGTAATGGCAGAGCTAGAAATCAATCCCAATCTTAACTAAGCCTGTTCTTACGCTATGCTTCTAAACTTCTGTGCCATACTGTCTCTAAAATAGATGAACAAAGGTTACTACAGATACAGATAGCAAAATTGGCATTACAAAGCTTGCAAGGCTTTTACATTAGTAGTCCCATTCTATTGCTCTTGGAGCCTTGGTAAAAAAAAAAAAAATGAATGTTTTGTCTTCTGCCATCTGTTTCAGTAACTGGGTTTCTAGTCTTTCTTATTTTATACACACACACATATACATATATGTAATTTTTAAAAACTTTTATTGTTGAAAGTATTACTTTCCCCTTCCCCCTTCACCCGGCTCCTGCCCTCTCCCCAGGCCTTCACCGCACTATTGTCTGTCCAAGGGTTATGCATATATGCATGTAAGTTCTTCAGTTAATCTCTTCCCACTCCCTCACCTCTGCCTTCCCTCTGAGATTTTCAGTCTGTTCCAGGATTCTGTGTCTCTGGATCTATTTTGTTCAACAGTTTATTTTGTTCATTAGATTCCACATATATGTAAGATCATGTGATACTTGTTTTTCTCTGACTGGTTTATTTTGCTTAGCATAATACTCTCCAGGTTCCTCCACATTGTCTCAAAGGGTTATCCATACGGGAATTATCCATATTTCTCTCCCGATTATCAACAGCAATCCTAGCCATACTTCAGTGTCCTGTCCCTATGACCCTTCTACTGTGAAACTCCCAGTCACACAGAACTCCCTGTTGCCCTCTTATACTACCCCAGCACTTGGTTTCTATTTCATCTGTTACATGTCTTTTTATTTATTTAAAAAAATTTTTTTAAATATATTTTTATTGATTTCAGAGAGAAAGGGAGAGGGATAGAGAGATAGAAACATCAATGATGAGAGAGAATCAGTGATTGGCTGCCTCCTGCATGTCCCACACTAGGAATCTAGCCCGCAACCCAGGCATGTGCCCTGACCGGGAATCGAACCCTGACCTCCTGGTTCATAGGTCGACGCCCAATCCAGGTCAATGGCTGGGCTATACATGTCTTTTTATAGCCAGGTGTATTTCTATTTATCTTTCTCATAAGACTGTGAGCTTCATTTTTTTTTGTTTCCTTAGCATCAAACAAAAAGATTTATTCAAAGCAGTTGTTCATTAACTGCCCAAAAGTATATCCTTTGAGAGTGCCAAACCTGGGTTTATCCGGGAGGAAACTTACATTCTTAACTATAAAATTGTAATAACATAAACTTTGAAAGGAAAAAGGCCATTGGGTCCAAGTATTTCAAATTATTACTTGTGTCTCAGTCTTATTACTGCTAATCTATATGGCCAGTGTTGAAGAAATTCTTACCTTTCTAAAGATAGACTGATGTTGAAGTATTGAGCATTGTAGGGCTCATCATCTCTTTCTGATAGTGGTACTGTGTACATATTTGCTTTTGGTCTTTATGTGTAAGCTATGGAAAGTCAAGAGCACAGCTATGTGCCTATGGTCCTATTGTCAGTATATGTGAGTTAAAAATACTTTTTACTATGCATTAAATTTTTTAATTTTAAAAGTGTTATTTAGGTAAATGTTTGTGATAGAAATGCAAATAATATAAAGATATACAAAGCAAAAAAAGAAATTGTTCTTTATAATCTTAATATTCCATACTTATTCAGAGATCTTTATGATAGTTTGATTTGAGTATTTTTATTCTTTTTTTTTCTATTAGCTATAGATCTGTATTTTTAAAATTGTAACTAGGGTATAATATCTGTGTGTGTGTCTGTGTGTGTGTGCGCGTGCAGAGTGACTTTTTTCCCATTTAGCCATATTAGTATCTGTTGAGTTGTCTCCTTTTAACTTCTGTATCCATACTCTGGATATACATCTTCGTAAAATAGAAACACCTATTGCACATAGCCAGCAGGGTACTTCATGTGATCAAGGAATGGTCCCTGAGATGTTCAAGCAAATTAATGCCTGACAGGTTGGGATAGTTAGCACAGAACCTTAGATTGACTTGTTCATGTCAATCTCCATCCTATCTATTTTTAAAATAGTTAGCTCTTTCAAGGTAAAAAACATTTTCTTCAATTGCCTGGCACATGGTTGGTACTCAGTAAATTTGTTGAATGAATAAATGGTCAAAAGATCAGTGAAAATCAAGTTCTGGATTAAAGACTACAAAATTCTGGTAATAAATCTCTACCTATGATGATTGGCAGTAGCTGTCATAACTTAATATTAGTTTATTCTATTTGCATTTCATATCTCTTGTCTCATTCCATTAGCATTATCTTTTGAAAATTTTATTTGCTCATTATAAGATGAATTCTTCTTTTTTCCCCCCAGCATCCAGTGTTGGATGAACCAATAGCAGAAGCTGTCTGTATTATAGCAGATATGGATAAATGGACTGTGCAAGTGGCCAGTAGCCAGAGACGAGTGACAGATAATAAACTGGGAAAGGAAGTATTGGTTTCCAGTCTTGTTTCCAATCTGCTTCATTCCACTCTTCAGCTTTATAAACATAACTTGTCTCCAAATTTTGTAAGTGTGTCTGAGGCTTGAATTTGAGCACTGTAATAGGTGACTAAACTATTTAGTATGTGCCTACATTGAACCACTACTGTTAGCTTCATCATTGTTTTCCTGAAAGAAGGTGTTGGTGTTCCTCTAAAGTCCCAAGCGTTGGATCCCTAACCTCTAATGCAGGGGTGGGCAAACTTTTTGACTCGAGGGCCACAATGGGTTCTTAAACTGGACCGGAGGGCCGGAACAAAAGCATGGATGGAGTGTTTGTGTGAACTAATATAAATTCAAAGTAAACATCATTACGTAAAAGGGTACGGTCTTTTTTTTTTTTTTAGTTTTATTCATTTCAAACGGGCCGGATCCGGCCCGCAGGCCGTAGTTTGCCCACGGCTGCTCTAATGCGATGATGGTATTTGGAGATGGGCCTTTTGAAGTTAATTAGGGTTAGTTAATTAGGTAACGAGGATGGGGCCCTCATGATAGGATTAATGTCCTTATAAGAAGAGGGAAAGAGAAATTGCATTCTCTCGACCATGTGAGGACACAGGGACAAAGAGTTGTCTGCCAGTCAGAAAAAGAGTTCTCACTAGAACCCGACCATACTGGCACCCTGATCTCAGACTTGCAGGCTCCACAGCTGTGAGAAAATAATTTTCTGTTTAAACCACTGAGTATATGTTATTTTGTTATGGCAGCCCAAGCTGACTAGAAAAAGAAGGGGATGCGTACATGTCTTATAGTATATTCTATGATTTCAGCAGCCATAATTTAGTACCTGATTAGTATCATGTAATGTATGGACATGAAATGTCCCTAAGCTTTGTGCAGAATGCAGTGCATTCTGGACCCTCATTGTCATGCCAGGGCTTTGATGATTCCTCTTCATAATACCGGTAACCTCTTATGGATGACACCATTTCCAACTTTCAAGATTTTTTTTCTTCTTAGGAAAACTATAAGATAGCATAGTTAAAAACCACTCTAGATCAACATGATAAAGACCATATATGACAAACCCACAACTAATGTTATGTTCAATGGTGAAAGACTGAGGATTTACTCCTAAAATGAGGGACAAGACGTAGATGCCCACTTTCACCACTTCTATTCAACATAGTAATTCCTAACCAGAGCAGTTAAGAAAGAAAAAGAAACAAGAGGCATCCAAATTGGAAAGGAAGAAGTAAAAGGATCTCTGTTTGCAGATGACATGACCTTATATTTAGAAAATGTAGATTCCACAAAAAAACTAATAGACCTGATAAGTGAATTCAGCAAAGTTTTAAGATATAAAATCAGCATGCAAAGATAGTTGCATTTCATTACACTAGCAATGAACAATATGAAAAGGAAATGAAGAAAGCATTTACAATATCATCAAAAGAATAAAATTCTTAGACATGAATTTAAGGAGACAAGAGACTTGTACACTGGAAACTACAAAATGTTGCTGAAAGAAATTAAAGACATAAATAAATGGAAAGGTATCTTCCATATTTCAAGGATTGGAAGACTTGCTATTATGAAAATGATTACACCCCCCAAAAGTGATTTATTGTTTCAATGCAATTCCTATCAAAAATTCCAATGACTTTTTTTTTCCCAGAAATGGACCCAGCCTAAAATGTGTATGGCATCTCAAGGGACTCTGAACAAACCAAAACAATCTTGAAAAAGAACAAAGTAGGAAAACTCACACCTCCTGATTTTAAAACTTACTACAAAGTAACAGTAATCCAAACAGTATGGTACGAGCATAAGGACAGACATATAGACCAATAGAATATAATGGCCCCAAAATAAACCCTCACATATATGATGAACTGGTTTTTGACTGGGGAGCCTTTTCAAAAGACAAAGACAAAGGAGTCTTTTCAAGAACTCATACTGAGAAAACAGGCTGTCCACATGCAAACGAATGATGTTGAATCCTTACCTATACCTTATACAAAAATAAACTCAAACTTACATCTAAAATTGAACAAACCTAAATGTAAGTGCTAAAAGTATACAACTCTGAAGAAAAACATAGGGGATAATCTGTGACATTGGATTCAGCAGTGGTTTCTTGGATTTGACTCCAAAACCACAGGCAACAAAAGTAAAAAATAGATAAATTGGACTTCATCAAATTAAAAACTTGTTTTGTATCAAAGGACACTATCAACAGTAAAAAGACAACCCACAGAATGGAAGAAAATATTTGCAAATCATATCTGAAGATTTTGATATCCAGAATATATAGGAAGCTCTAACAACTCAATAATAACAAAGACACAACGAATAGATATTTCTGTAAAGAAGATACACAAATGGCCAACAGACACATAAAAAGATGTTCAACATTATTACTCATTAGGAAAATGCAAATCAAAACCACAATGACATACCACTTCACACCAATAAGGATATTTATAACATCAATAAAGTATTGGCCAGGATGTGGAGAAATTGGATCCCTTGTGGGAAAGACAAATACCATATGATCTCACTTATATGTGGAATATGATGAGAAAAAGTAAACTGACAAAAATATAGAAAACAGGCAGGGATACGTGGACCAAACTAACAGCTGTCACAGGGAAGTGGGGAGGAGGGACTGGATGAAATAAGGTGAAGGTATTAGCCAAAAAACATATATGTAACACATAGACAACAGTGTGGTGATAGCCAAAGGGAAAGGGAGACGGGCAAAGGGGGGCGGAAATGGGGATGGAAAGAGACTTTGCTTGGGGTGATGGGTGCACAATGCAGTGTGCAGATGATGTCTTACTGAGTTGTACACTTGAAACTTGCATGCTTTGCAAACTGTTGTCACCCCAATAAATTCAGTTTTTTAAAAAATGTGCTCCACATTGTAGTTTATGTTGGAGTAACTAAATAGAATTGTCAAAAATATGATGCTTTCAAAATTGCCATCACTTAGAATTGGACACCATTTTCTGACCTGGTTCTTGGTTTCCCCTAACTGCAGTGTGTAATGCATCTTGAAGACCGGTTACAGGAGCTGTACTTCAAAAGCAAAATGCTGTCTGAGTACCTGAGGGGCCAGATGCGTGTTCATGTCAAGGAGCTGGGAGTGGTTCTAGGGTATGTTCATGGTTTCTTTCCTGGCTTTCACATTGTGCTATCTTTAAGCAAGAGCTATTCCTTAGAATTGCCTTCTTGTAAGTGTCTTTTCCTGTTAGAAGCTGGACACTATTATCATTCAGGTTGCTCTGTACCACATAAGAGCATATCCCTGTTTTCCACTGATCTAAAGTGCATTGTCCCCTCTGCCATTACAGTAAATTGAGAATATAGTGAGATAAAAATGAATTAAATCTAATTTTTTTGTCTTGGAAAAATAAGTAATATTTATTTTTATTTACATATATGTTCAAAACTCCTTCCCAGCCTCCCCTCCACCATCCAAATGAGCTGATTAAAATAGCAGCACACTGGATGGTAGTACATTATCTACATATTACTACTCTTTCCCTATTATCTATATGTCTGTCTACTCTGTAGTTATTCTTGGGAAGAAGACAGTTATTTAAAGTGCTAACTGAAGGAAGAACAGATAAATTGTTGGGAGGCATAGTATAGCCCTTTTCATTATGTTCCGTGATCTTTTTCCTTATGTCCTATGGCCATTTTGTGTGTGTGTGTGTGTGTGTGTGTGTGTGTGTGTGTGTGTGTGTTAATTATTCTTGAAATGTTAGTTGAGGAAATTAAAACAAGCCAGAACTTTTGTCTAATTCAGTTTTTATGAAGGAAGAAAGAGCCAACATCAACAAGAAGCTAATGTTTGTTAGAAACCAAATTGAATTCTTTCACTAATGTTACTCCTTACCATCCAGATTGGCAATAGATGATTCTCTGTGCATAATGCCTTTATTAAAAAAAAAATTAAAGTAGTTTTTAAAGTAATGTGCATTTAACCAAAATTTATAGTGCATTATGGCATAGAATGAAAAGTAATTCCTCATCGTCTTTTCCCCAACTTGCCAGCTTCACCCAAACACAGTTAATGGATTGTTTCTTCTGACAGAAATTTTTTATACAATAAAAAATAGAAATTAATTTCTACTCTATTATATCATCGGGCAACTTGCCTTTTAATAAATCCTGAACATTTGTTCATATAAGCACATACTGATCTATCTCATTTTTAATAGCTGTATAGCATTTCATTATATGGTGGGATTTATATAAACAGTAAGTTCTCACTTAACATCTTTAGTAGGTTCTGCAGCTTTAAGTGAAATGACATAATGAAACCAGTTTTACCATGTACTAATTAATATAAATAAGAATTAAGTTTCAGTGGCATCTCATCCTACATAATAAAAGCATAGTATGCAAATTGTCCCCTCGACCGGGAGTTTGTCCAGGAGTTTGACTCGGGGGGCGGGGGTGGGGCGCGAGGCTGGCTGGGGGAAGGGAGGGAGGCCCCAGCCGGCGGCAGCGGTGGCAAGTGGCTGGGGGAAGGGAGGGAGTACTCAGCCAGCAGCTGCTGGGGACCCTACCAGTGCATGAATTTCGTGCACTGGGCCTGTAGTTATAGTTATAATGAAATGATGCTGTTTAATGGAAGAACATTATTTGAGGGCCTGATGTATTTTCTTTTGCTACTACAAACCAATGCTAGAATGAGTAAAATCTTTGAAGATTATAGGATAAATTATTTGAAGAATTTTTGGTTAAAGGGCATGTGTATTAAATTTTTGATAGATATTGATAGTTATTTTGATATGTAATAGTAAATGTTACCCAGTAAGTACCAGAATAATTTATCACAAATAGCAGGAAGCACACACTTCTTGCTATTGGCTGCTACCAACTTTTTAATCTTTGTCAGGCTACTTGCTAAGAAATGAAATCTGATTACAATTTACGTATGTGTATTTATTTATTCTCTAACATGAATCAGTCTACATGAGTGATGTTTCTGTGTTTATTGGCCATTTTTCTTTTCCTGTAAATTATTTGTGGTAAGATGTATTTTTAAGATGCTTCCATTATTTCTTCTATATTTTATAGAAACCTTTGTGTTCAAAACAATGTGGTTGCACACTATTATCCTAATATTATACTACTAGAGGCCCGATGCACAAAATTGGTGCATGGGTAAGGTCCCTAGGCCTGGCCGGCAATCAGGGCTGATCTGTGAGGCAACTGGCGGGGCGATTGGAGGCCCCTGCTGGCACCCGCCGTGCGCTAGCCCTGTCCCCTGCCACGGCTGCCGGTTGCCTCCCTCTGGGAGGCGACTGGTGGGGTGATGGGGGGAGGCACTTTCCACTCGCCAGCTGGCCCCACTTCACCCGCTCGCCAGCTGGCCCTGCCCCCTGCTGCTGCCAGTCACCTCCCTCTGCAGGGCGACCTGCAGGGCAATCGGGGGACCCCCGCTGGCACCTGCCTTGGCCGGCCTGTGGCCTGCGGGCTGGGAGCAGCTCCTGTGTTGAGCATCTGCCTCCTGGTGGTCAGTGCACATCATAGTAACCAGTCGTTCCACCATTTGGTTGATTTGCATATTAGGCTTTTATTATATAGAATATTGTATTTCTTAGATTTCTTGCTGTGATGCATGGTCCATCAGCAGGTCAGTGAGATGCATTCCTACACCCATGACTTCACCATTGGGTTTCAGATCCTTTTTTTAATAAAATATTTTTATTATGTTTTTATTGATTTCAGAGAGAGGAAGGGAGAGGGAGAAATAGAAATATCAATGATGAGAGAGAATGATCCATGGACTGCCTCCTGCACGCCCCCTACTGGGGATTGAGCCTACAACCCGGGCATATGCCCTGACTGGGAATCGAACTGTGACTTCTGGTTCATGGGTTGATGCTCAACCACTCAGCCACATCAGCTGGGTAGATGTTCAGTTTTTTTTTTTAAAAAAAATTTGGTTCTGGTTTTTTTTACTGATTTAAATATTTCCAACTGTTGTTATCTTCAGCTCTCTTACCTTTTTCTTTTGGTCAGGGTGGCCTGGGTCCTTTACTGCTGAGGTATAGTGACTTGGGTACAGAAAGCCTGACTGAGATTTTTTTTTCTCTTAATTTCAGGATTGAATCCAGTGATCTTCCTCTTCTGGCTGCTGTAGCAAGCACTCACTCTCCATATGTTGCTCAGATACTCCTTTAACATAAAGATTGTTTGGAACGTTAAATATATAACAAGGAAGCAGACACAACATGCATTATGGCATTTCCCCCCCCCCCCCCATTAGATTCTGATCTGAATGAGTCAGTCACCTGTGTATCATGCATTGCAGTGCATATTGTGTGTTCTTGGATGGATGGCTTTTTCTTTTTGACTGGACTTTTTGGGTGGAGGTAGATTTTTAACCAAGTGGAACTAAAACAGCATATGTAATTTGGGGGAAAGCATTTGAAAAGGCTAAAGTATAACTTAGAAAATTCTATAAAATGAATGGCATTGAGGATTTTTATATGATCACTACAGTGTTTCCACAACTCATAAATAGCAACAGATGTCCCATGATTAAATGGCTCACAAATAGTCGTTTCATTAGTTTTAATTCTTTATTTCTAAGGTACATAGGTTTACAAAACCTTGATTATTTCTTATATTGTCAATTCAAAATAGCTAATTTGGGGGTATTTTTCAAAGTATTTTAAGTAACCTGTTAATTATAAGAAACTTAGAAAGAATGAGTGTCAATCTGTGTTATGTTACCCACCCAAGTGTACATATGTATGTAGTTTTTTAAAAAAAGCAGAAGTAGAAATACAAGATTGGTAAACATACTTTTAAA